TCTCACAGCCCTTGCCCTCTGAGTGTGGCCACCAGAAACACCCACCTGCGTGCGGTAATGCCGCTCTCTAATAGCATCAAACAACGCGGTGTCATCCCAAGTATATGTAGCGTACTCCATACCATAAAGAACCGACGCATGAAACTCCCTCACTGTTGGCCAGTCATAGTATACTGCATCAAACATCAGGTCTGCTAAGTGAGCCAATTTACTGTCAACTTTCCCAGAGAGACGATGAGACTCAATCACGGCTTTCACGTAACCGTGTACGAACATTGGCAACGACAACTCATCATACGTCACGCCTCCCCCCTTCCCGTAGCCGGGGAAATATTGTGCACGTTGCTGTGGCCATTCAATTGTAACACGTGCTGTACTTGAATCATTGATGGTGAGGTGTCTACCGCTCTTACCTGAACGTCGCTTTGACTGTGACTTTGACCGGGACTTCGACCGCGACTTTGACCGGGACTTCGACGGACTGGAAACCGAGCTTGTGTCGGAGCTGGAGTAGACGAAGTCCTTCGACGCGCGTTCAGAAACAGACTTCTCTCTCGGTTTCCTGGCACTGCCGCGCGACTTCGACGGACACAACGGCGGGCTTGTGTCGGAGCTGGAGTAGACGAAGTCCTTCGACGCACGCTTAGAAACAGACTTCTTTCTGTTTCTCGGTTTCCTGGCGCTGCTGCGCGACTTCGACGGGCTGGAGGACGGGCTTGTGTCCGCACTGGAGCCGACGCAATCCCTCGACGTGTGTTTATAAACCGCCTTCTTTCTCGGTTTCCTGACGCTACTGCGCGACTTCGATGGACTTGAAGACGAGCTCGTGCCGGAACAGGAGTCGACGAAGTCCTTCAATGCGCGTTTAGAACCAGTCTTCTCTCTCGGTTTCCTGGTACTGCTTCGCGACTTTCTGTTGCCAGACTTCTCCCCGTGATCTTGATGGCGGCGCTGGCCATGGCTGCGTGTGTAATCCGATCTCCTGTGAACGCTGCCGTCTGAACCCGAGGAAGAAGCACGCTTGCCTGGAAACACAGTCTTTCTCGAAACTCTGGGCGGAGAATGTAGCATTCCCTCGAGCATCTTATCCACCTCCCCAGCCAACTCCTTGTCAGCCCGCAGATCACGGACTTCGCGATGGCGGGAACCGGGCGGCCTGGTCAAGGACGGCTCTCTAGGCTTGGTCGAACGTTGTGGCGTCTCACGAAGGGGAGGTTCACTCTTGGCGCGATCCCCGTCTCTGGCGACTGTGTGGTCAGCGGTTGGAGGGTTACCGAGCGGTAGGGACCGTGAATGCTGAATCTGAGTTGCTTCCGAGTCATCAGAAATGCTTTCAGACCAACTCTCTCTCACGAAGTCTGCCACCTTGCTTCTCTGGCGCAGCTTGCGGAGAGACTCCTGCATGTGGAGGCCATTCTTCACGTGTGAATAGAATTCCTCGTCCGACGACCGCTCAAGAAAACAATTCCCGGGTCCACACGGACCCATGTGTCCCTTGACAGGTCTTCGGCATACTGAACATCGCCTACGTGGCTTCTTGAAGCCCCCATGCTGCTCCATGAGGAGAAAACGATGATTTTTTGAAGAGCAAACAAAAACGTGGCTGTGGGAGCCAAAATAAAAATTAAGAGGCCGTCACGTGAGGTTGGGTCACGTGGGGTAGGGCCAGAACAAATCAATTTCGTGTATCTAATTACAAAAAATGATCCTAAAGGAGACATTGTTTCCATATTATAGAAACACCGCTAGTTTCTGTATTGTTGTTGAAATGTTGTCGACCGGCCGGCAGCGTGCCTTGTCCGGCGTTACAGTTGACGCTTTTTACTTAGCCCGTCGGGTGCACTTGACACTGCTTACTTAGCTACTGTTCCCAATCTGCAAAATATAAAACTTCAAGGAAAGTTGTAGCCTATGGCTGTTTGTTTAGCCTTCAGGCTCATTTGAGCCGTCACTTCCAGAGTTTTAGCCTGAATAACCTGCAAACAGCGGAAAGTCCGAAAGACCTTCCGAACGGAAGTGGTTAATTATCGATGTTTATCTCTAAATCGGCACGCCCCTGCATAGAAGTGAACTATATATGGCCAAATTATGATCATAATGTCGATTACTTATAACGAATATCAACATGTAGTTTCGCACTGAGTAAGTGCCAGGCTAGTACACGTAGTACGGTGTAAAAGGGGGAGGGGTGTCATAGTTTAACGGTTGCATGATTCAGGGCCAAGGATGGCAAGTTGCAATAGTACGTGCTATGTGGAACACAATCGATGAGAAACAAAATCTTACTTATCAAATGGCGTTAACAAAGGTGTGTGTGGAAAGCACCTAGTGCTAAAAAGCTGCTCGCGTTCTAGTTAATATACCCAAATGTTTTATCTGGTTTGAGAAAAATATTAGGCCTTTCCAGTACCTATGGTGTGTTTTCCTATGTTTCTTTGTCGTTTCTGTGAATGGAGGCCTTTCTACGCCGCTCAACGGTCCCATGGAAGATTAATGCATTGTTGACAATGGTTGTAACCTTTAACCCAGAGTCAACACATAACACACCTGATCGACCAAATAAAGTGCCCTCTTTCGAAATCGTAGTGCTGTGCAGCACCTTAGATGCACAACACTAGAACTCATTGTCCACACGTGAACACATTGCGCCGTTGGCACATCCAACAACAGGTACAGAGCAAAGACTGATTTTATGGTGATTTTACATTCATGGACGCATGACACCGTTTTGCAAGCTTTAGAATATGATCATATTCATCCCTAAGCAAAATAGTCATCTTGTTGATACATATTTCAGCTCATTTTTCCATCTTGCACCCGTAGGTGTCAGGAACGCAAGGAACATCCTCTGCGTTCGTTGGATGATTGTGCGAGGTGATGTGTAACGTGGTCACAAGTGCACGGTGTGGAGCTGCTGGATCTTAAAGTGATACCGTCACTGTTTTTACACCACACACAAAAAATGTGCCTTGTGGAGATTGCCTTTCTTTCTTCATCACGTATCCCATTGCCACGGAGTAGATCGGACTGATGTAACCGAAAGAAAAATAGAATCAGCTTTACGTTAATATTCCTGAACAAGTAATCTTACCAGGGGATCTTTGAATATCATCAAAGGAAGTTTGTAGTTTGCCGAATATCGACGGTTTTCTGAGAACAAACAAGGATGGCAAGAGGACGGAATGAAGAGACAGAAAGACATGAAAGACATTTAGAGGGCCATAAGTCGCACCAACAGGATGATAAATCAAGTGGAAGAGAGTCCCTTAAGGGTTGCCCAGTTGGACCAGCAAATGAAGAGAGAAACAACATGAACAGTGATGAAAGAGACGGTTTGATAGCGAAACATCGTCGGAACAACCAAGTAGGTGGCACATTAGACAGAAATCTATCGCACAATGAGCTTGGAAAGACAGCAAGGATGAACCATTCGCTTAAAGAAGCAGGGGCAGGCCCTCATACAACAGACGAGAATGATTGCCCTATCAAACGTCAATCTCTGAAAGGAGCTTGGAATTTTGATTCATCAGGAAGTACTGCATGTGGGGCGCAGCATGCCCACGGGCACCCCGAGTTTGCTAATGACAACGTGGACGGGGTCAGTAGTGATCAACCATCAAGACATCAAGAAACAACAAGGATTCCGCCAAGTTCAAACCAATATCAGACAAGGAATTTGAGAACAGAAAGAGATCGACTTAACACTTAATATTTGACTGGCCAAGAGATGCACCCGTGTCCCCAGAACGATCTTGCGA